GCACTGTCCACCCCCTCCAGGTGGCCCGGGGGCTGGCAAACGGCTATGTGCAATCTGCGGGGACAGAAGCTCAGGTATGGGGCTCAGAGGATGAAGAGAGAGGGAGAGTCTGGGCCATGTATCACCACTTGTGGGATTCCCAGGGCTTATGGGGTTTGGTCAGAGCAAGTGACCTGGGGGAGGCCTGATAAGAGTAAAGAAGCTGAAGATGAGATGTGGGATGCGATTAGGGGGAAGGTCAGAGGGAAAAGGGAGTGCAAACGTAGGGATTCTGAACAGTGAGGGGACTGGGACTGGATCATCACTCACCTCCTGGTACCCTATCTCTGTATTTGGCAAATGTAGAGAGGACTTTAAGTTTTGCCAGGGGGAGATTAGGAAGAGACTAAATGGTGAAGGTGTCTCCACGCAATCTTATTGCTCTTCCCTTTTCCCTGTAGGCAAACACTACGGGGTTTACAGCTGTGAGGGTTGCAAGGGCTTCTTCAAACGCACCATCCGAAAGGACCTTACGTACTCTTGCCGGGACAACAAAGACTGCACAGTAGACAAGCGCCAGCGGAACCGCTGTCAGTACTGCCGCTACCAGAAGTGCCTGGCCACTGGCATGAAGAGGGAGGGTAAGGACCTGCCCTGCCCAGGCTTCTTAGACCACATGCCCCTTCTCCCCTACCCCGCTCAAGACTCTACCTCTCTGGAAGGCTAGAGGGTGATATTTGATTTCTCAAATCAAATATCCTCTAGAGGGCGATATTTGATTTCTTTCTCCCTTCGAAGCTTTTCTCCCTGTTACCCTGCTCTGGCCCTTGAGTTTCCTTCTTACTGGTTAGGCCTCTGTGGTCTACACCTATGACCCCTCCCTAGACTGGTCTTAGGATAACCTTTCCTTACCCGTGATGGGCTTTCTGTCTCCCCTTTTCTAACCTGAGTGGTTCCTCCTCTCTGATTCCATGGACCCTCTCTGGTCTCTGTCTCCTGTTATCTGTGATCTTTCCTCTAACTCCTGGGACTCGACACTCTTAAGCTCAGGGATTTCCTTCCTTATTTTGTGTCTCCATCTTATCTTCTTAAGTCCAATTCGTAGAAGTCTGAGACAGACACTTGAGAACGTATCTTGGTCAAAATCCCACTTTAGAGAAGATGAGCCTGAGGCCTGGCTTTTCCAAAGTCATGCAACAAAGGAGTGGCAGGCAGTTCTGGGATCAGAACTCACATCCGTGAAGACCTAGGCCAGTACTCCTTTCACTGCCTATTTGCAGAGTCAGGAGAGTACAGATTTGCATTCAGACACACTTAGATCCAATTGTATGACCTGCCATTACTATATGAATTTAAGTGAGCTGTTTAACCTTTTTGAATCCAAGTTCCTCATCTTTAAAATGAGAATAAATGCTTCCAGCATAATTATGATAATAGAGTGAATGTTAAAACGTGCTTAGCATGTTTCTTTCCATGTTTTTTTATTAAAAATTTTTTTTCAATCAGCTTTTTCAGGTTGAATCTTGGCATATTTTTTAACCATGTAGTAGGCTCTCCATTTAAATTCCTCCCTGATTCTTTTACCCTCCTCACCCTTCCTGACTGACTTATCTGCCCTTTTATAACCCTTGCTTCAGGGCTGCTCCCAGTCCACGCTTTCTAGTGACTTCTCCAATTTCCATAAATATTTCCCAAGGGCCATGAGATCCTGATGAGGCCCTAAGGATACTTGTGGAAACCCTTAATGGCTGGCTGCTGACTCTCTGTTTTTTTCTCTCCCTCTTTCCCCTGCAGCGGTACAGGAGGAGCGTCAGCGGGGAAAGGACAAGGATGGGGATGGGGAGGGGGCTGGGGGAGCCCCTGAGGAGATGCCTGTGGACAGGATCCTGGAGGCAGAGCTTGCTGTGGAGCAGAAGAGTGACCAGGGCGTTGAGGGTCCTGGGGGAACCGGTGGTAGCGGCAGCAGCGTGAGTGTTGGGGTCAATTCACTCTCCTTCATGATGGGGGTAGGGGGAGGTAGTCTAGGTCTGTTCTATATCCCTTCTCATCCTTTCCCCTCATAACCTTCCTAACACTGCTTGGGACCAGAAGTGCTGCCAAACAAGGTCTTTCAAATATCTGAGGTGGATATGATAGCTCCTTCTGTCTCTACTCCCCAAAACACCCACTGGCAGAACCACAGGCACTTCCCAAATAAATAATTGCTTAAACAAATACCAGAAGAGAAGCCTGACTTACAGGGATTGGTTTGGATGGGGCTCACAGGAAGACTGTATGTAAGGAGCCTCTTACTAGGGGGTTCCCAGCATATCTCAAAATCTTCCGTAACTCTTACCCCCGTCCCCTGCAGCCAAATGACCCCGTGACTAACATCTGTCAGGCAGCTGACAAACAGCTATTCACGCTTGTTGAGTGGGCGAAGAGGATCCCACACTTTTCCTCCTTGCCTCTGGATGATCAGGTCATATTGCTGCGGGCAGGTCAGTGACCTTGGATCCCTTTGACCTCTTGACATTTGACCCCTTTGACTTTCCAACCTTTAGTGACCCCAGTGGCCTTACCTTGCGTCCTAAGGGAGCCAAACTTGCTGACCTCGCCATATCTTTTCTCCTTCTCTTCTACTGATGTGCTTTGAATCTCTTGGCCTGATTTCTGGCTCCTGACCCTTGCTGCCCCACCCAGGCTGGAACGAACTCCTCATTGCTTCCTTCTCCCACCGATCCATTGATGTTCGAGATGGCATCCTCCTTGCCACAGGTCTTCATGTGCACCGAAACTCAGCCCATTCAGCAGGAGTAGGAGCCATCTTTGATCGGTCAGTGGCCCTCGGCTAGGCTGGCATGTAGATAAAGGGGGTGGGGCTATAGGCTGGTCCGTGTCCAAGGCTGGCTGAGCTGTGACCTTTGAGTGACCTGCAGGTCCCTCTCCAGGGTGCTGACAGAGCTAGTGTCCAAAATGCGTGACATGAGGATGGACAAGACAGAGCTTGGCTGCCTGAGGGCAATCATTCTGTTTAATCCAGGTAAGAGGAGGATTACCTTTGTTTCTCAAGGCCAAGGCACCCTTGGAGCCTCCTCTTCTCCGAGACTCCTAAGTTACCCAGCTATCCCCCTCAGTAAGACCCTCAACCTGGAAATCTCCCAACTGGCCAAGGAAAAACCCACATCCGTGGATGCGTCCCACAAACCCAGTAGGCCCTGCTTCCCTTGCCAGGCCTCTGGTAAAGGGCAAGCAAGTGCGGACCAAAAGGGACATCGTGTGGCTCACATCTACGCAGCTGTACTGATTTGATTTGTGTTCATTTCTCTTCCTCCTCTCTTCCGTGCCATCCTAGATGCCAAGGGCCTCTCCAACCCTAGTGAGGTGGAGGTCCTGCGGGAGAAAGTGTATGCATCACTGGAGACCTACTGCAAACAGAAGTACCCTGAGCAGCAGGGACGGTGAGATGGGGCTGGGGGGACTGAGGCTCCCTCACAGGTGGGGAGTGCCACGAGGATGTGTTCAGAGTCCGTGTGCTTCCAGCTCTCACTCCCCTTCTTCCACCTCCACCCCAGGTTTGCCAAGCTGCTGCTACGTCTTCCTGCCCTCCGGTCCATCGGCCTTAAGTGTCTAGAGCATCTGTTTTTCTTCAAGCTCATTGGTGACACCCCCATCGACACTTTTCTTATGGAGATGCTTGAGGCTCCCCATCAACTGGCCTGAGCTCAGACCCAGACATGGTGCTTCTCACATTGGAGGAGCACACATCCAAGAGGGACTCCAAGCCTTGGGGCAGGGTGGGGGGGGGCCATGTTCCCAGAAGCTTGATGGGGTGAGAAGTACAGGGCAGAACCAAGAACATAAGCCCTCCAAGGGATCTGCTTGATATCCCAAGTTGGAAGGGACCCCAGATCCCTGTGAGGACTGGTTGTCTCCCTTCAGTGGCCTTGAGTCTCTGAATTTGTCGGGGTCTCCCATGATTTGGGGTAGTTTCTCACCCTCTGTCCTTCTCCCAGCACAAAGCACTGGCCCTGCCCCTGGGACCTTGCTTCCCTCTCATCTTGCCTCATTTTCCTTTCCATCTGAAGAATGGAAATGGGGAACTCCCCAAGAGATGGATATTGGTGGGCAGGCCCCCCAAACTGATGGACATAAGCGTAGGGCCCTGACAGGCCTTCCTTTTCTCCAGCCTGGCAGATGGGGGCCTCTCTGGGAGAGGGAGGGTCCCCTGTGACTGTCTCCTGTCCAGAGTCTCTTTTTACACTTCACCTCCTTCAGTCAGACTGAAATATAAAAAAGGTGGTGGTGGTGGTGAAGGGGCTGGTGGAGATGTAGGAACCGATCTGCTATTTTTAACTTCCTCTGAGGATAGAGACTTGCAGTTAGACTCAAAGAAGTACTGTACTTTCCCAGGTTGACTAAGAAATGCCAGTGGTGGAGGTGGGTGTTTGGGAAAGGCAGGGCCCTGAAATGGCCTGTCCCTAGGGCTCTCCAAGCACTAGCCTTCCCAGCTTTCCCCCCCACCCCATCTCTTCCTGTCTGACTTGGGGAAGGGGCCTGGGCTGTGAAGACAGGGCCCCCACAGGGGACGATTTCGTGAGTATAGTCCCGGAGGCCTTCCCTTCACTGCTCTCCTCAAGCCATGGGCACATAGTGTAGGCTAGGGACATGGGATCCTGGCCTGAGAATTGAGTGGGGGGTGGCCAGCCCGCAGAGGTGGGGTGCTGGGGCTGCATGATTTTTGCCCTGCGTCTCTTCTCTTTGGGGTTCCTTCCCCCTCTCACTCATACATAAAATCGCTTTCAAATTAAAATCGCTGTTTTCTGGACCGAGGTGACTATATAAGGATGGGCAGCGCCGAGTCGGGCTTGGGGGGGTATCCGGTTGGGAGCTTCGGACGCGATCCCTGGACGCCGCCGCCGAGGTTCCCTGGGGCCTGAGAGGCGGGCGCAGGGTGGGGGACACAAGGCGAGCTTTGTCGGGGAGGGGGAAGAGGGTGTGCCAGGCTGGGGGCGGGGCCGGCCGGTGGAGGAAGGGGGGCGGCGGATTCTCAAAGGCGCCTTGTTCGCTCGTGCCCTCCCCGCGCCAGCGGGCGGCGCCTCGGCTCGCTCCGGCCTTCCCTCCGGCCGCGCCGCGGGCTCCGGGCAGACCCGGCGCCGTGCCCGCTCATGGGGTCGCACTGGGCACCGAGCGCCGTGGCTTCCTCAGGCGTTGCCTGCCCGAAGGCGGCCCACGTCCTTTAGTGACCCCATTTCCCTGGACCCTTCCAACCAGAGTCGCCTGCTCCCTTATCTTACCATTGCTCCCCCTCTACCTGGGCTCTGGGACTCCCTTACCTTGTCCCCCACGTGCATCTCCTAGGACCTGACTAGCCTGTGTTTATCGGTGGTCCCAGTCTCTGGCTCCCGGAAGAACACCTCCCCGCCCATCCTCCGCCCCAGTTCGCCACTATCTACAGCCTGGTCTATAAATAACCCCGCCCCGGCGGCCGGGCTCTATAATTACACGGGGCGGGGCGGGGCGAGGGAAGTAATTACAGAGACCTGATTTTGGGGAAGGTGGGGACTATGACCCCCAGGCCCGCCTCTCCCCTCCCACTGTGCCCTAAATCCCGCCCAGGCCTCTGCTGAAAGGGGGCTTGGCCCCCAAAAGGGAGTGAACGGGAGGGGGTGTGTGTGACTGGACGTTTGGGTCCTGGAAAAGGAAGGGACTAGGGAAAACTTTGGGGTTCCTGAAAAGAGAATCTTGGGGTACAGTCAATTCGACCTGCAAGGAACAGGAGAGAGCAAGCGAGAGAGGGAGGGTTCCCGCCTCCCTCCCCAGGTGGAGATTGAGGGTGGGGTTTCCCCCTCGGTGCCTGTGGGCGGGCGGCTGGAGGCGGGGGCCGGCCGGGGGCGGGGGCGAGGTGGGGGCTCTGGGCGCAGGGGTGGCCGGGGACACACAGAAGCGGCAGCCACCGAGGAGGGAGCAGTGCTGGGAGCCCCGACGGCGCCTTGCTGCATGGAGCTGGGCCACTGACAGCTGTCTCTGCCCACAGCCTCTGACCTCCCTGGGACCCCGGCGTCCGAGGCTCATAGTCTGCTCCCTGTCTCTGTCAGCCTCTGAGCGTCCAGCGCCTCAGGCAGACCTGGGTCCCTGGGACCCGGCGTTCCGGTCGCTCAGCCATGGAGCGGTGCCGCCGCTGCCATCACCACCTCCTCCTCCTCCTCCTACCTCTGGTGCTGGGGCTGAGCGCGGCCCCAGGCTGGGCAGGTAAGAGGAGTCCTGATGCCTGGGTCCTCGGAGTCAGGCTGGAGCTCCGAGTGCCTCTGGGAAGGGGACAGCTGATGCCTGGGGCAGGAGCCTCTGAGTCTGAAAAGGAGACTTTGGGCTTCAAGGGTCCAGGCTGGAGGGCAAGATACCTGGGTTCCTTGGAGTCAGGGTAGGGATCTCTTCATCCTTGAAGTGACTGGGGGAGGGCAGGTAGGGCTGAAAGGTGGAGGACTACTTTAGAGAGCCCAGTCGGGATGGGCGCTTGTCTTAGTTCCTTGGGAAGAGCTGCAGATGGCCAGAGCTGAAGATGGCCAGGGCCAGCCTCGTTCAGCCATTGCAGGTTTGAGTGTGGTAGATGCCCATGTTCATGGTGAGGTCTGTGAGTCTTCTGGCCTTTCTGTCAATATCTCTGGGATAAGGCCTGAGCACCTGAGATTCAGAGCAGAACCTAGTAAGCCCAGAAAGAAAGGATGCCTTGACTACCTGTCCCATTGGCCTCCCGGACAGCATACCCTCCCCCTCCCTGTGCCCTCGATGTTGCCACGCGGCTGGCTCTGGGGAGCACTGGGGCTGGCTGCCAACAGGACGGCCCGCTGGACAGGCCAGGATCAGGTGTCTGAGGCCAGAGCCAACTCTTTGCATTCCTGCCTAGCCCCTCCCCCCTCTGGCCAGCCAGGCTCCCCTGGGACCCTAGTGTCCACACCCCAATCTTTTCCTTCTTTTTCCCGGGACCCAGATTTGCTGGCTTCTAGGGAAGGGGATTTGATGTCAGGGAGGAGGGGGTGGTGAGCACCAAGCCCTCAGCAGGCTGAAAAAAGCTCCCCATGTCTGGAGACATTCTGGAGACACGCGCTGATTTGTATTTAACTGGACTATTCAATTCTTCTCTGCTTTAGAGAGAAGAGGGTCAGAATGGCAGCATAAAGGATTTAGATCACATTATAGAAGGAAGAACTTCCAAGATGTAAGGACAGTGAGGCCCAGGGCCAGGAGATTGAGGCCCATAGTGCCTGTAGACTCTAGGAGTCTTGCTTAGGGGAGAGGGCTGCTGTGGCATGGAGGCAGGGGGATGGCTAAGATGACTGTTTCTTATTTCAGGAGCTGAGTGGGTAGAGATGGGACTTTAGGGAAATGGGTTACTGTGGAATTCCGAAGATTAGAGAATAAGGCATTTGAGGGGCCAGAGGTAGAGTGGTGGAGGGTGATGGGGCTACCAGTGGGGAGCCTGAGGGGCAGATGAGGCCGGAGACAGTGGGGCAAGTACGTGGCCTGGTGTGGGAAGATGGTGGGTGGACCTGTGGGTAGGTCGCCTATATGATCAAATTGTACTCCCCTGGGGTTTGGTGGAGGGTGGGGGCCTCTGAGGTCTCCTTGGCCTGGGGTCTCTGTGAGTCTCTGTGTCTCTGTCTCACTCACCCTTCGTCTCTCAAAGCGGCCCTTGTGTGTTGGTGTTTGCGGAGCTGCCACATGCGCAGGGGCCAGGCTTAGGTGGGGGCTGGTGGGGGGCGGGGGGAGGCCGTGGTTTCCCGGCTTCTGGACTCAAAGGGCCTTTTCTCTGCCTGCCTGCCCCACCTCACCCACCCCACCCAGCTCTGCTCTCCTGATTGCTCTGGCCTCTGCCCTGCCCTACACTTCTATGAAAGTTTTGCTGGAACCCTCTTTGGGATTTTTCCAATCTGGAGCTGATGGTGTGAAGAGTATGTATACAGGGGAGGAAGTGAGGGCAAGGTGATCTTTTGTTTTCCAGGGAGTGTGAGCCCTAGGAAGCTGAATTCTAGGTAGACAGGGCTGGTGGGCTGTGTCTTGCATCTCTGGGTCCCAGGTGGTGGGGTTGGTGGGGGTGGCGAAACAGGATTGAGGTTCCAGGTGTGGGGAGCTTGCCTGGGTTCTGGGCAAGCACTCTGATGGGATCCACAGATGTGTGGCTCTGGGCCCTGGACCTGTTCCGGCTCCGCGTGGCAGCTTCAGCCCCCGCCCCCGATTCCTCCACCCCTCCCCAACTCATCTCCTAAACCAGGAGGCACACGCTCTTGGGAGAGCTTTCTTATCTTTTTCCTCAGCATGGTCAGGGTTGTTCCCACCCCACCCCACCAAACCTGGGATATGTAGCTGCTCAAAGCCCCCTCCCATAGAGCCTCTCTGCTCTCTTCCTTGTGGCCCCCCTGCACCTCCTGTGCCCAGGATGATCGATTGCCCAGATGTTGTTTGTGCTGGAGACAGGACAGATGCCAGAGACCCAGAGAGTGAGAGATATGGAAAGGGAGTGAGAGCCAGGGAGAGAGAAAGGTAGATAGAAAGTGAGGGAAATGGAGGAAGAAGAGACAGGCATGGAAAAATCAACATAAAGAGACAGAGAGAGTAAGAGAGACAGTGAGAGAGACAGGAGACAGATGTAGTAGAGCTGAGAGACAGATTCAGAGAGCATAGACAGAGACAGATTCATAGGCTAAAAGACAACAGGAGAGTGTGAGAGGCAGATGCTAGGAGAGAGAGGGGCAGGAGGGCATGGGGTTGAATTCCGGCTAAGGCCGCCCTGCCTCCAGGTACCTTTGCATTTCCCATCCATTAAGGCACTGTTCAGAAGCAAGTGAGGCTGAGATGACCTTTGCCTTGTAGGGAGTTTGAGCCCTGGAAAGCTGAGTTCTGGATCCCAAATGTCCCCTATTTATGCCCTCCTGAGGCCAAATCATCCTGATCTGGATGCCCTGTTCCTTCTCCTGATCATCATGGACCCTCCCAGGTGCACCCCCCGTGGATGTGCTCCGAGCCCTGAGGTTCCCCTCCCTCCCTGATGGTGTGCGGAGAGCAAGAGGCATCTGTCCAGCTGATGTGGCCTACCGAGTGGCACGACCTGCCCAGCTGAGTGCACCCACTCGCCAGCTTTTCCCAGGTATGGGAGACACAGTGGGGTAGGGAGACCTAGGGGAGGTAATAGGGTGGGGCTTAGGATTAGACACCAGGAGGAAAGGGGTTGTGGCTCTCTTTGCCTCTCACTCTGTGTGTATCTCTCTTGGATACTCCCTAGGAGGATTTCCCAAAGATTTCTCTCTGCTGACTGTTGTCCGGACCCGCCCTGGTCTCCAGGCTCCTCTCCTGACTCTCTACAGTGCCCAAGGTGTCCGACAGCTGGGCCTGGAGCTGGGCCGACCTATCCGCTTCCTGTATGAGGACCAGACTGGACGGCCTCAACCTGCAGCTCAGCCAGTCTTCCGAGGCCTCAGCCTAGCAGATGGCAAGTAAGTTTGTTTGCTCCTCTGGTCTGCCCGGCCCTCTCTTTCAGGAGGAAGTGCCTCTGAACCTCTATGCTCTAAAGTGTGAAACCTTTCAGACCCTTTTGGCCACACCACACCTACCCACTGCCCAAGTTTCAGTCACTTCCAGCCCAGAGTTTGGGCTTTAGAGTATGCACCCTTCTCTGCATGTTGAACCAGCCTGTACCTTGGGCAAGTTACTTAAATTTTTTGAGTGTCAGTTTCTACATTTGTAAAATGGACATTAAGTAGAATCAGCACAATCAAATGAGAAATTGATGGCACAGTGCCTGGCGCACTGTAAACACTCAATAAGTTGTGATTACTCTTCTTATCACCATTGGCTTCAGCTCTCATCACCGCTCTCCAATCGTGTTGACTCCCCTGCTTCAGTCAGTCAAGAGTTCAGTTGAACCTCTCCCCCCATGATCAGGTGGCACCGTGTGGCTGTGGCTGTGAAGGGTCAGTCTGTCACCCTCATTGTTGACTGCAAGAAGCGAGTCACCCGGCCTCTCCCCCGAAGCGCTCGTCCAGTATTGGACACGCATGGAGTGATAATCTTTGGTGCCCGTATTCTGGATGAAGAAGTCTTTGAGGTAACCAGAGCAATCAGAGACAGGAGTGGCCTCTGGTCCCCTCTCTTGTGCCCACTCCCCTTCTGGGTCCAGCCTTCCCTAGGCTTTCATTTTTTTCTTGTGAATTTTTATTTCCATTTCCTATCTTCAGGGCTACTGATCTCTGTGAGAAATAGATGCCTACTTTTCTGGCAGGACTGTCCACAGCCACTTTATTCTGTCCTTCAGTCTTCATCAGTCCCCTCATCCGTCCATCCCTTCAACACCTCTCTCCTCACCTAGCCATCTATTCACTCACTCTCCAGCCCACCCATGCACACATCCACCACTCCCTCCCTCATTCATTTACTCACCTATATATCACACACTCTCCTACAGATGCATGAAGGCTTATATCCCCTTACCTGTCCATCTTCCCCCTGCTTAACCACTCTCCCCTTTAAATCACCCATTTATGCTTCCATCCATCTATCCTCTTCAATTCCTCCACCCATCTATTCACTCAACCACCCATCCACCCACCCCATCTACCCATGCATACAAGGATGCATGCATCCATTTGGCCACCCATCATCCATTATCCTTCCACCAACTCAGCTACTTCTTCAATACACTCATGTACCCATCTCCTCACCCACTTATTTCCCATCTGACCATTTATTTACCCAGATATTCAATTCCACCCGTCTACCTACTCACCCATTTGCTTCCATCTACTCTGTGTCCCTTATTCATCTGCCCACGAGTCCACCCTCTTGTACATACATTCATTCATTCCCTATTTGTCAGTACTCCCATTCAGTAATACATTAAGCCCCCATCCACCCATGCACTCATCTATCCATTCATCCATCCCTCCATCTACCCTCCAAGCCAGTCAACATTTTCTGAATACCTGTTGCCCAAGGAGAACAAAGAAGAAGAATATAAAGTGTCTGTCACCTGCAGGAGCTCCCAGGTGAATGAGACAACATCCCTAAGTTACAGTGCTTCCCAGGAAATGAGACAACATCCCTAAGTTACAGTGCAAGGGAGGGTATGCTAAGCACCATGTGTGGGCAAAAGTAAATGCCATTGGAACTAAGAAGTGGGTTCTCCCACTCCATTTCTAGAGGTCCAGAGAATTCTCATCATCACTATTATTGGAAGGCCAAGGCTTCTAAGGCTGAGCCCTGTCTCTGGAAGCCACTGTGGAAGGGCTTATGCTTTGCCACAAAGGGTAGAGGGGAGGCAAAGTATGCTGGAAGTCCTGGGATCTGGTCCTGATTCTGCCACTCTGGGTGACCTTGGAGCAGTCATTGCCTTTTTGGGCTTTTCTGAATGGAATGTATCTGGAAAATGGGCAGAAAGATGTTTGTTCTACTGACTTTCCTGGTTGTTATGAAGGTCCCATGAGATCCCTTGAAAACTGAAAAGGGTTATGCATATGGAGGGCTGACAGTGACCTTCTTCCATCATAGAGTTTTACGTAGGATTGGCCTCCTACCCTTTCTCCTGGATGATACCCTCTGCCTCTCTCTGAGTATTTCTCTGCTCCATCTCTCTCATGTCTTTGCAGGGTGATGTCCAGGAGCTTGCCGTTGTCCCAGGGGTCCAAGCAGCCTATGAATCATGTGAGCAGAAGGAGCTGGAATGTGAGGGGGGTCAGAGGGAAAGACCCCAAAACCAACAGCCTCACAGAGCCCAGAGATCTCCAAAGCAGCAGCCATCAAGACTTCATAGGCCACAAAATCAGGAACCCCAGCGCCAGGTGAGGGAGCCGGGAGAACCCCCAAGTGCAGCACACCCCAGAGAGGGAAGACACCCAGTCATCTCCCCTCCTTAGTTGCCCTCCCCACTCTCATTTCCCTATTCCCATCACCCCCTCCTCCTAGTTCTCATTCATCAGCCTTTTTATTTTCATCTAAAAATAAAAAGAGTTGTTATGAAGAATTCATGGCTGGGAGCTGTGTTCCCTGCTCTGCGTCTCCTCTTCTACCAGTCTTCCTAGAACTGTGTCCCTGGGTTTCCCCTTCCTTCCTTGAATTAAGAGATTGGGAGACAGTGGGAGAGGGGTAAGAGCAGGGGAGGCAGGTGGGAGAGCAGAGTAGAGGGGATGGAAGCCAGGAGAAAGCAGTTGGGATGGTGAGACCAAGGAGGAGAAATGGGAAGGAGTCGGGATGGACGGAATCCCAAAGGAGGGGTGGGTCTGCAGAAGTGTGGGGGTGGGGAGCCTGGTCTCTGGCCCCCATCTACCTGGAGGGGCAGAAAAAAGGGAGGTAGTGGGGGGAAGGGAAGGGAAGAGAAGGGAAGGGAGGGGAGGGGAAGGAAGGGAAGAGAAGGGAGCCTGGGTTGGGTGGGGTCTGGACAGTTAGAGTACAGACAGGCTCTGGGGTCAGTGGTCTGAAGATCAGAGGTTCAATCTCTTAATCATGTCTACTTCTGCCCCACATGTGGAACCCCTTCCCTCTGTTCCACCTCTCCCCACCTCCCTTCTGACCCTCAACCTCTGCTTTCATCTTCAACTCTGTTTCCCAACTCCATACCTTCCCTGTTTTCCAACTCACCCACCATCTTTTTATCTTCCTCTTCTGCCCTTCACCCCATGCCTTCCAATTACCTCATCCCCTTTCTGCCTATGCCCACCCCCTAATCCCAGCCCACTGAGTCTCTCTACTATGACTACGAGCCCCCCTATTATGATGTGATGACTACGGGGACGACCCCTGATTATCAGGTAAACTCAAAGGACCCCTTCATTTCTTCCCTTCCTCCCAGTACCCCCTGCAATCATCTCCTAGGACACCTTCCTCCCCTCTCCATGCTGTGGGGAGAGGCACAGTGTGTTTAGATGATGGGGATTTACTTACTCCCTGTCCCCTCCCTGTCTCTCTGCTGCAGCACCCTGGGAGCCCCCACCACAGGCCTCCCCCTCCCCCTAGGGGGCACCGGACCCCTCCCCGAAAGCCTACCCCACCTGCCAAGAGGTCAGCGGCCCGGCAGGCATCCCCCTCACCAGGCCGGAGGCCCTCTCCAACTGCAGGCTCTGGCCCAGCCCGGGTCCAGCCTCCCCATTCCCGACGCCCAGCTCGGAGGGCAGCTTCCCCCACTGCCTGGCCCACCCCCAGGACCAGAGGCAGCGGTTACCGGCAGGTAGAGCTGGGGCATCCAGATCTTTGCCCCCAAACCTCTATGACCTTGGAGGTTCATTCTCCCCAAACTGTCTCCCTCCAAAGGGGCTGCAAGATCTGAGATTTCCCCCATCCCCCAGCACAGACAGACCCTGCCCTCGGGCAACAGGTACTGCTTTGCCTCCTCTTCTGCTAACCTTTCTCCTTCCTTCTTACCCTGTGCTACTCTTCTCTTTCTCTCCTTGGGGTCAGGACCCCACCCCAGGTGAAGAGGAAGAAATCCTGGAGTCAAGCCCCTTGCCACCCCTTGAGGAGGTAACTCTGTGCCCCACCCTCACCCCAGCTGGGGACAATGGGCACCTGTGACCCACTCCCCTTGGCCCATGGCATCTTGATGGACCAGCCCCTCCTCTGGCCGGAGGGTTCTTCCTCATTTCCATTGATGGCCTCTGTCTTCTGGTCACTCTAGACCTATGGGTCTGCTTGTCTCTCTAAGTCCAACCAGTTCTTTTCAGTGTCCAGGCCTCTTTCCATGATCCTTTGATTCCAGAGTGACCTCATCTCCATGTTGGTGTCTAATGGTCTTCCTTTCTATGTCCTATTTCTGTTCCCAGGAGCCATTTTCTGTCCAATGCTGTTACCTTTTGTCTTCTCTATCTCTTTGGTCACTCTTGGACTCCTTTATCTGTCATTATATCCATGGACTGTCCACTCTGCATCCAGCCCTCCGGCCACCCTTCTTTTTATCCACCACTTCTTCCCCACCGGGCCCGATTTCTAGACATGTCTCCCCATTTTTGGCCTTTGATGGCCCTTCCATTTCTATACAACCACTCCCATGGCTTTTGGGAGAAAAACTCCAATTCTGATTACCCTCAGAATCCTTTGGGCTAGAAGTTATTGCACGCTGGGGTCCAGGGTAAGCCTCCTCTCAGCCCTAATATCCCCATCTACCCCTCTCCCTCCCCATCCCTGGGAAGGAGCAGACAGATCTCCAGGTCCCCCCCACAGCTGACAGGTTCCCGGCAGAGGAATATGGGGAGGGTGGCACAGACCTCCCTGAAGGGCCCTACGATTACACCTATGGCTATGGGGACGATTATCGTGAGGAGACAGAGCTTGGCCCTGCCCTCTCTGCGGAGACAGCCCACTCAGGAGCCGTAAGTGAAAGGAGCTTCTCTTTCATTCTTGACCACCAGTGGGAGCTACAAGAATTGTTTCTTGTTGGTTTTGATCCTTGGCTGTTGGCTGTGAGCTACTTCCCATCTGTCACTTGCCATTTTCTGTTCACAAGTGATGTATATGTTGCTTGAAAAGATGACTACCTGCCTTCCCTTGCCAAATGTCTTACCCTGTAACTCTTGTGAATACTTGTGCCCAGGGCAATTGGGAATTTAAAAAAATTACATAGCCACTTCCTGTTTTTCTTAGTCACTTCCTATCTAAATCAAGCTGAATTTCATAAAGCTTTTGGTCAAGAAGCTACTACCTTGTGTCCATTTTCAATGTGTCTCTATCATTTCTTCTTGGTGAAAACAATTTTTTGTTCATGTTTCTACCAAATGATCTAACTTCCTATGTCACCTTTTTTTAACCTACAGGCCACTTATTGTCTGTCCCTTCCTGCCTTCTCCAGCTGTGGCATCCATCTTGGTAACTGTGTCAGGTTGGACTGAAAGGAATTTATTATTGTGTTCTGGCTTTAGTTTTTCATGCTATATCGTGACAATTTCCTTTGACAGTAAGCCACTTCCTGTATGTCCCAGGTCATTCAAATCAGAAAGTTCCCATTGTGGGCCTCAGTATTTCTCATGGCTACTTCCTGTATGTCCTAGCCTTGATGTTTGTGTTTTCTGGAAGAATTATCCTTCACTGTCATGATTCCCTTTGCAAGAGTCCTGTTGTAACTGTTTTGTGCCTTTCTTTTTACTCTGGGTCACAGTAGCCATGTTGTTGAAGGTTTACTTCCCAGATCCTCTGTTCTTGGCTGCTTCCTGTCTGTACAGCCACTTCCTGTTTGTCCAGTTTGTTTACTAGCCATGTTGGCCACACTTAGTTTTCCTTGGCCCTGGCATCATTTTTGCTTCCAAGTGTTTGTCATTTTGTTCTGTGTCCCTTAGTTGTCCTCATGTCTTCCAGTATTCCCTGCCATTGGAACTGCCTCCTGTCTATTCCACTCCATCTTCCTGCTTTGCAGTTATGGCTGCCTCCTCTTCCCTGCTGCCGCATCCCACACCTCCCCTCTCTTGCCTCCCTTGAGCTTCTGCTGCTTTTCCTTTGTGTTGATCTCTGGGTATCTGGGGTTGATACGGGATTTTGGAGAGTTTTGAAACTGATCATGGCTGTTTGGTCAAAGTGAAGGTGGAGAGGGGCATTCTGAATATTTTTGTTTGGGGGAGTTGGGGTGGTTAAATGTCTCCACTCTGTTCTTATTTGGTTTCTGGCCCTAGTGTTGGGAACAGGTATCTGAGTGGGGGTGTGCAAGGGAGGGAACTGGTGGGCTTGGAGTGTACATGAGGGCTGGAGGAAGGGCAATGCACAATACATCCTTGCTGGGAGAGGAACTGTGGGATGTACTATGGGGGACTGCTCTGGGGCTTGGATAAGTGATTGCAAGAGCTGTATTTTTCCAAAAGCCAGTTATGAGGGCTGAGTTTGTGCTATCAGTGGGGACTGCTCTCCAGTTTTTTTTTTTTTGTTTTTTTTTTGAGGCAGGGTCTTACTTTGTTACACAGGTTGGAGTGCAGTGGCAGGATCTTGGTTCATTGCAACCTCTACCTTTGGGTTCCAGCAATCCTCCTGCCTTAGCCTCCTGAGTAGCCAGGATTACAGGCATATGCCTCCACGCCCAGCTAATTTTGTACTTTTATTGGAGACAGAGTTTCACCATGTTGGTCAGGCTGGTCTCAAACTCCTAACCTCAGGTGATATGCCTGCCTCTGCCTCCCAAAGTGTTGAGATTGTGGGCATCAGCCACCATGCCTGGCCTAGCTTTTATCAGGTTCTCATATGGATTCATGCCCTCTTCTTACCCCAGATAAAAATCTACCCACAATCTTAGAGAGATTCTTTTGTGACGTGTTGGGGTAAACGTGTGGAAGGTTTCTTAAGATTCTAGGGATTTCTGGGGTTAGAGGGAGTTTGGGAGATGGGATAGGGTCCTCTAGAAGAGGGTTTGGGAAGATGGGTGGTTTAAAATTCCTGGAAGGGGCTGGGCGTGGTGGCTCACACCTGTAATCCCAGCACTTTGGGAGGCCAAGGCAGGTGAATCATCTGAGATCAGAAGTTCGAGATCAGCCTGGCCAACATGGTGAAACCCCATGTCTATTAAAATACAAAAATTAGCCAGTCATGGTGGTACACATCTGTAATCCTAGCTACTTTGGAGGCTGAGGCAGGAGAATTGCTTGAACCCAGAAGGCAGAGGTTGCAGTGAGCCAGATCACTGTACTTCAGCCTGGGCGACAGAGTGAGACTTCATTTCAAAAAAAAGGAAATGAAGAGGTTGTGTTTGCTGAAGTGGGGGTGGGAACTGTGGGGACAGGGAACCCCAGGGTCTCCTTGGCAGGAAAGGTTTGTGAAGAGGGAGTTTTAGGGGAGGGCTGTGGGGCTTGTGGTTTGGGCTGAAGTGGTCTCGAGAGGATCATTCGAGAGGATCTAAGAATGAAGGCGGGAGTTGGGATGGGGATAGGCCTGCTTTCCTGGATGCTCACGGGCCCTACTGGGGGTTACATGTGTGTCTCCCTCAGGTTGCCCATGGACCCCGGGGGCTGAAGGGAGAGAAGGGAGAGCCTGCTGTGCTGGAACCTGTAAGTCATGCTGGTCACAGAACTGAGACAGTGGAAGAAGCAAGTGGGGTTGTGTGTGCTGGACCTGTTGCCTCTGACTTTCAATCTTTGACTCTGCAGGGTATGCTCGTGGAGGGGCCCCCTGGCCCAGAAGGCCCTGCGGTGAGTCTAGCAGTGATCTGGTTGCCATTATTTTCTCAGAACCCCTCCTATGTGCCCCTCTGAGTCTTTCCCACATATGTCCAGGCGCCCAGGCATATGTAGGAACTCCAGAGCATCCTTTGGAGTTCCAGAGAACTCAGAACTCAGTCCTCAGAACTCCAGAGCATCCTTCCAATCAATGTTTCCCAGATTCCCAGATCTCTTCTGCACAGACCACTCCTCAGCCTCAGGCTGAGTGCCCACACCTGTTTGAATGCCCACATCTGACCCCTACTCTTTTGTTCCTCAGGGACTGATTGGTCCCCCTGGCATCCAGGGGAATCCAGGCCCAGTTGGAGACCCCGGAGAGAGGGTAAGAGGGTGTTCTCTGTGTCAGGGGAAGCTTCTGGGGAGCCAGTGGTACCCAAGGGGGGGCTGCCATGCCCAGTAATTCTTCATTAGCTGACTGGTTAATGAATGAGGGGATGGTTGTGCTTCCCAGCACCCAGAAGGGAGGGCAGCCTCTGGTTGGGGAGGGGAATAATCTGGCCTCTGACCCTCATTTTCCTCTATGGGAATGGGGGCTCAGGAAAGATCTAGAGGAGTCTACACCTATTCTGTTGAAGAGGACATTTCAAAATCATGCTTAGACCTAGATGTCCCCGATCTGTCACCTCATCTTTTGTATTCTCTTCCCACTCTAGGGCCCCCCTGGCCGAGCAGGGCTCCCTGGATCAGATGGGGCTCCTGGTCCTCCTGGCACATCCCTCATGCTCCCAGTGAGTTGTCTCCTGAATTTTGGAACTGGCTGATGGGGAAGACAAGGAATTGTGTTGTGTTACCAAGAACCAGATGGGCAGGAAAGCTCTGGAGGAGTCTAAAGATCATCAGCCCAAAGGGATTGGTCTTTGGGATGGGGGAGATGAGGTCTTATTAGATGACCTAGAACTGAACACCAGTCTTCTAGAACTGAGCAGAACAGCTTATATTTCAGGGGATCTAGAACCAAAAGAGAGTCTTTCTGGAGGCAGAGGCTGGGCAGCAGCGGGGAGGGCAGGAGTTGAGTTTCTGGAATCCTCTAAGTGGTTATCTGGAAGCCATGGGAAATGCTGGATGGGCAGAACCTGGGAGATGAGGCAGAAATGCTGGAGGAAGCCTCTGGCTGGGAGGGTCTCATGGCTTTCTTGGAGGAGAACCGGGACCTTCTCTCCTTGCCCTCAGTTCCGGTTTGGCAGTGGTGGGGGTGACAAGGGCCCTGTGGTGGCGGCCCAAGAGGCTCAGGCCCAGGCCATCCTGCAGCAAGCAAGGGTGAGTGGCACTGCTTCCCTGGAAAGGGAAGGCTCTGGGGGAGCACTGGGAGGTTTGGCTGGAGTGAATGTGGGGTGGGGGAGTTCTGGGTTGGTTTTAGGTTTACAGGGAGGTTGGGAAGAATCCAGGGCAGTGGAAGAGGATCAGGAGATGAAGGGTGAATTTGGAGGGCGCTGGGGCTGGGAGTTCCTGCTGCCTCTCCCTCAGCTTTGCTCTTCCCCTTCTCCCATAGCTGGCTCTCCGTGGACCCCCTGGCCCCATGGGATACACAGGGCGTCCTGGACCCTTGGTGAGTGACTGGGGTACTTGGGTGGAGGATGCTTTATTTGTGTGTGGGGTATGGATAGTTCTGGAAAGGGGCTTCTTTTGGGGAACACTCTGAGGTCACTGCTGGGTGTGTCCTTCATTATGGCCATCCTCTCTTCTCTCTCCAAGGGACAACCTGGGAGCCCTGGCCTTAAAGGAGAGTCTGGAGACCTAGGACCTCAGGTGACCACCCTCCTCTACTGCACCCCCATATCTGTTCCCCAGCTCAGTCTCCCCACTCACCTACGTATGCCTCCTAACCCCACCTCATCTCTTCTCTTACCAGGGCCCCAGAGGACCTCAGGGCCTCACAGGCCCTCCTGGCAAGGCTGGGCGAAGGGTGAGTACTCCAGGGGTGGATGGGTGTTGTGGGGAGATCGGCAGTGTAGAGGCCTGTGCCCCTGCTTGCTCTGACACTTCCCTTGCACTTCCAGGGCCGGGCAGGTGCTGACGGAGCCCGAGGGATGCCTGGAGAACCTGGAGTGAAGGTAACAGGCTTGGGCCCCTCCCTGAGGCCGGTAGCTCCCAGCCCACCCTGGGCTCCATTGTTTCTTGTGAATGACCTAATTGCTCAGGCTCCCCCAGAATGAGCCCCACCCCACTCAGGGTGCAGTAGGGAGGGGTGGGCTTAGACAGGGCTGTGTCCTCACTCTGGCCACCCCTCCTCCTCCTAGGGTGACCGAGGTTTTGATGGACTCCCGGGGCTCCCTGGAGAGAAGGGCCATAGGGTGAGTACATTAGGGAGTGTGTGTTGGAATCGGGCATGGACCTTCTGTAGGAGTGAGATATGTAGGGAAGGGAGTCTGGGGCTTGGCAGGGGCTCAGTGAATGTATTGGGTTGGCTAAGTGCAGAGGGTCTGCCTGTATAGGGGGCTCTGAGGCTCCTCTTATGAGTTCCCCCATTTTGCAGGGTGATACTGGTGCCCAGGGCCTTCCTGGTCCCCATGGTGAGGATGGAGAGAGGGTAAGTGTAGTGGCAAGGGGCTGGGTGCAGGTGAGGTCTAGAAGGCATGGCAGCTTCACCATGTCCTCCTCCTCCAGGGAGATGACGGGGAGATTGGGCCTCGAGGGCTGCCTGGAGAGTCGGTGAGTGTCCAAGGGCTGGTGCTGGGAGAGGAGGTTCTGGGGAAGCCAGGAGAGAGACATGAGCACTAAAAGGACACCTTTTTATCCATTCATGCCATCTCCTCCCCTCACCCTGAATGCAGGGACCTCGAGGTCTCCTTGGTCCCAAAGGCCCACCTGGTATTCCTGGACCCCCTGTAAGTGACTCCCTGATTTCTGACCCTAATGTGGCCCCTTGACCTCTCCAACTCTCCACCTTTCTAGCTGCCTTCCTGCTCCTTCTCTCTCGTCACGCTTTCCATTCCCCTTGAGCTCCCCCTGCTCTGGCCCTACTGTGCTCTGCCTCAGCCTTCACTCCCCTTCCCGCCCGTGCACTGGGAGGGCCCTGTGGTGCGGTGCCCCTAGGGCTCTGGGCCTAGGAATAAATCCTTAAAAAAAACAAAACTAAAGCCCACAAACCCACACATCCACAGCCCCACCCCTGTGGGCCTGGGGCAGCTGTGTTTGCTTGGGTCCGGGATGGATTGGAGGTCTGACCGTCCCGCCCTCGGGTATGGCCGGGCCTCTCAAAACCACAGGTCCCTCTGGACCCGCCCTCAGGCTGCTCACACCCATCTTGTGTTTCAGGGCATCCGAGGCATGGATGGTCCCCAGGGTCCCAAAGGGAGCTTGGTGAGTGAAGGGTGGAAGGTCCCTGCCAGCATCCCGTTTGTCACCATTTTGACCCCTGCCTATTTCCCACTGTTGCCCTCTTGGCTGTTGTTGCTGGGACTCAGCTCCCTGCTCTAAATTTGTTCTGTCACCATCTCCTTCTGACCTGTGCCTGGTCACCTGTTTCTAGGGACCCCAGGGAGAGCCAGGACCTCCTGGACAACAGGGTACTCCTGGGACCCAGGTGAGTGGTGCCCCTACTCCCTTTCCCAATTTTAGTGACTTCCCTTGGCCTTCCACAATGGGTCAGACTGTGGAAGCAGACAGGAAATTAAGGGTCTCAGGCCCTTATTGCTCATGATCTGAATGGGGAGGTGGCTCGAAGAGACCCTGGGAGGCCCCTGTGACTTATCTTTCCCTGTATGTAGGGTCTACCTGGGCCCCAAGGTGCCATCGGCCCTCATGGAGAGAAGGTAAGTGACCAAGTGATTTGGAGGACAGGGGGTTTGGAGTAGGGATGTAGGGAGAACCCAAAATGTCTGCTGGGATTTTATGTGTCCAGACATGACCCCTCTAGTGACCCTGAGCCTCCTTGTCTTCCTGCAGGGTCCTCAAGGGAAGCCAGGGCTCCCTGGCATGCCTGGCTCAGATGGACCCCCGGTGAGTGGGCCTCCACTTCTGAATCCAGTTCCCCTTGGCCTCCCACTCCAGTGACCCTTACACTGAAAGGTCACTGGTGGTGCTTGCTCATGGACAGTTGGCTTCACTGGGTCACAGGAAATTTGGGTTGGGAGAAGTGTGGGGAGGGGTGCAGAGAGGGTGACAGGGGCCACAGGTCACATTTTCTATTCCTTACTTCCAGGGTCACCCAGGGAAAGAAGGTCCCCCTGGAACCAAAGGAAACCAGGTGAGATCTTCCATGTCTTTATCCCCTGAGGGAGCCTCCACCCAGACTCTAGACCTTCAAAGTCCTTGAGATTTCCTTGTCTCATCATTCACGTGGCTCTGCCACATTCTCAATTCCTGTGCCCTGTAACCCTACCCAGACAGCAATGTTGCTACTTCCATTTCTCCCACCCCTGGAGTCCCCCAAAGTGATGCCCTGAGGCCCTTTATAAATGCCTCTCTTTCTTCTTCCAGGGTCCCTCTGGACCTCAGGGTCCTCTAGGATACCCAGGACCTCGAGGGGTCAAGGTAACTGACCACTAGGCTGGGAGACAAAGCTCTGTGGTCAGGGGAGCAATATGGGGTCTTAGGAGCTCAGTCTTTCAACCCACCTCCATCCCGTGATCACTCTACTACCTCTATCCTCCCTCTAATTCTAGGGTGTAGACGGAATTCGGGGTCTGAAGGGTCATAAGGGTGAGAAGGTGAGCACCATGTCCCCAGCTTCCCAGCACCTCAGTCCTGCCATCTCCTCTCTTCACTGCCTTCCCTCCAGCCTGCCCTTTACTGCCTTTCAGCTCCCGAGCCCATGCTTCCATCTATGTTCTTGGAATCCCCATTAGAACCCCCAGCCCTTTGTCATCTGTGGTGTCCTCTCACCTCCATCTTTTTCAGGGCGAGGATGGCTTTCCCGGGTTCAAAGGTGACATAGGCGTGAAAGGTGACAGGGTGAGTAGAGAATCTACACTGGCCCCAATTCTGTGTCCTACCGAGCCTCCACTCTGGAGACCCCAAGCACCAGTATGTTCTCCCGAGTCTCTGGACTCCCCAGTTCCAGTGCTGTGTTCCCTTGGGAGCCTCAACCCTACAGGATGATAACCCCATGGTCTATGTCATGCCTGCTCTCCAATCACAGTATCTCTACCCTGCAGGCTCCCTGTCCTGTCCCTTTCTCTTCTGGGCCCAGACCCCACCTCCAGTCCCTGACACTCACCTGTCCTTCCCTCTTACCCAGGGCGAGGTTGGAGTCCCTGGTTCCAGGGGAGAGGATGGTCCCGAGGGGCCAAAGGGACGCACTGGACCGACTGGAGACCCTGGGCCCCTGGGGCTCATGGGTGAGAAGGTGATGGGATGAGGGATCTGTGCCCGGGGCCTCTGGGGTATGGGCGCTGGGGATGGACATGGGGGGTACCCACAGCTGAAGTCAGCCAGTCAGTTGAAGATGGCCATGCATTAGTTATACTTCTCCCTGTGTAAAAGGTACCTCCTGGCTGCTGATGGGCAGAGGGGATATATAAGAAATCAGGGAAAGTTTCCTGTCATGAAGAGTTGGATGGAGATGAGGCATAGAGAGTAGCTGTTGCTTCCAGGCAGAGTGAACACGCGTTCAGACTCCAAGCAGCAGGAGTGCTGAGATGAGAGAGTCTAATACAGTGAGGTCTGTGGTCTCCAGAGCTGACTCTCCCCAGCACTTGCCCTGTGCCAGGTGCTGTGCTGATGTGTGCTATCTATCTTGTGAGGTAGGCATGTGACCGTCCTGTTTTGCTGAGGTTTTGCAGAAGCACAGGGATGCTTGTTAATTACATGGCCAGTGAAGGGCAGAGCCAGGGTTGTGCCCCAGCAGTCTGGCTGCAGAATCTGCTCCCAAGCCCTGTTTTGCAGCTGCCTGGTCAGGATGAGCCCTGGAGCATCTGGGGAAGGTGGCATTCGTGGGAGTCGGGGGGTGGTGGGAAAAGGGCCTGCTGGGGGAACTGGTCTTGGTGGAGTAGGAGTGGGTGCTGGGGTAGATCCCACCTCCCTCATGGGGTAGATGAAACTGAGATTGACAGGTGGGCAGCAGCTAGATCACAGTGGAAGGGCCTGATACATCTGCAGGCACAGGGCAGGTGGGCTCTCAGCACTAGAGTTGGGGAGAATCCACTCACGGGAAGGAGACTACAAAAGTCAGGCAGTTGTGGGGCAGGCAATGAGGGGCTAGAGGCTGGGGTCTGTGGAGTATGTTGCTGGATAGGGGCTGGTCCTTATATGCGAAGGTTGAGGTCTGTAGGGTGGAGCAGCATCTGGACCTCCTCTCACTCTTAACGGCTCCCTGTCCCTCCACAGGGCAAGCTGGGTGTTCCTGGTCTTCCTGGCTATCCTGGACGTCAGGGACCCAAGGTGACGCTATGCCCCATCCATGCCCCTCCTCCTCTTCCCTTCCCTGACCCCTGACTCCAGGAAGCAAGGATGCAGAGCAGTGGGGGACCCCAGAGAGAATTTAGCTGACCCCTGTTTTACAGATGACAGAAGAGGCCCAGAGAGCATCAGGGGTTTGTCCAAGGTTGCTTAGTTCTTGGCGGAGCTCAGGTCTCCCTCGCCACTGCTTTTGTGGCCTCTCCTGACCCCCTTTTCCCCTTCCTGAACCCTACCTTTTATAACTTCTCAGTTTCCCCCCTTCTCCATTCTCACCAGGGGTCCCTAGGATTTCCTGGCTTTCCTGGCGCCAGTGGAGAGAAGGGAGCCCGGGTAAGCCGGGGGCAGGGAGGGGGAGAGGAGGGAAAGGCTGGAGAGGTGTAGAGGGGGTCTCTGGGGAGTCTCACTCTGGGTAATGTTCTCTCTGCTTCATCCCCACCAGGGCCTGTCAGGGAAGTCAGGACCTCGGGGAGAACGGGGCCCCACGGTGAGTGCAGGGGAGAGAAACAGGTGGCTCAAGATCCAGAGGGGGTCATTTGGGTTTCTCTGACAACTCCCCTCCCCTCTGTAGGGTCCACGAGGCCAGCGAGGACCCCGGGGTGCCACCGGGAAGTCTGGAGCTAAGGTGAGGTCTCCGCAGGGCTCTATCTGCCCCCTGCCCACTCAGCCCCAGCTTTCCCTCAACACCTGACCTCAGGGACAGCTGGAAGGCAGCTCCTCCCACCTCCTGACTCTTTCCCCCACAGGGAACATCGGGTGGCGATGGCCCTCATGGGCCCCCTGGAGAGAGGGTGAGTGTGGCTTGAGAGTCCCCTTCCCCTGAGCTCCCCAGGGAGCCTGGATGAGCCAGCTCCCTCCTCACCCCAGAGAGGAAGCTGAGTTCCCCCGCTCAGCCCCTGCTCCCTTCTCCTGACTCCCCCACCTCTGTCCCTAGGGCCTTCCTGGACCTCAGGGTCCCAATGGATTTCCTGGACCCAAAGGACCCCCGGTGAGTTGACCCCTAGCTCTGACCCCCCTTGCTTCTTTGAGTCCTTCTTCCCTGACCCCTTTCCAGCTGAGAGTTCATCTGACACCTGAACCCCTTTCAGGGCCCCCCCGGGAAGGATGGGCTGCCGGGACACCCAGGCCAGAGAGGAGAAGTGGTGAGTGATGCGCCTGGCTACTCATTCTCGCGGGGCCCCCTCAGACCCTCTAACCTCAGAGCTGTCTGCAAAGCCCACAGGGACGGTCTCCTGGGAGGGTGGAGCCTGCCCTGGTGCTGCTCAGACCCAGGGCCCAGGGCTCCGTGTGACCCTGCCTGGGATGCCTCCTCCTGGGAATCTGTCCGCGGTGCCCACATCTGCTTTCACTGCATTTTCCTCTCTTTCTTTCCTAGGGTTTCCAAGGGAAGACCGGCCCCCCTGGTCCTCCAGGAGTGGTGGGACCTCAGGTAGGTTTGTCCCTAGGAGAGAATGAACCCCAGACCCTAGCATTAGTCTGTCTGTTCCTCTTCTCTTGGTCACACACTCCTGCTCCAGGTCCATCTAACCCAGACCCCTCCCTGGGGCTGGGGTCAATGGTGGGGGCTGGGATTTCAGGCAGGGGTCCTGAACTTCAGTTTGTTTTGGGGTGCGTTCCCATCATCTTGTCCCCCGGAGGAGGCAGTTTCCCAACAGAGACCTAAGGTGGTGCAGTTACTCCACATGGGGCAGAGAAAACCCAGCAGGGGCCCAGGAGTACCTGGGAATTTCCCAGGAGTTTTGGGCCAGGGATAAAGGGGTTTTGGAGGAGTGTTTTGGGGTGGGCGGGGTGGACTATTTTGGCAGACAGTGGGATGAAGGGCCTGAGAGCGGGGACTCTCTCTGCCTTTGTCTAGGGAGCAGCAGGAGAAACTGGCCCCATGGGGGAGAGAGGTCACCCAGGTCCCCCAGGGCCCCCTGGAGAGCAGGGACTGCCTGGAACTGCTGGAAAAGAAGGAACAAAGGTCAGTGAGGGGCCAGGCAGAGGGGAACGTGGGGACTTGGGGATTGGGGTGCTGAAAGGAACAGGCAATTGGTGATTTGAGGCTGGCCGGAGAGCTCTCTGTTTAATTTGGCAGCATGGCTGGGGCTCATCACCTCTCCTTTCCTTTTAGGGTGACCCTGGTCCCCCTGGGGCCCCAGGGAAGGATGGTCCTGCTGGTCTGAGGGGATTCCCAGGAGAGAGAGGCCTCCCAGGCACTGCTGTGAGTGTGATTCCCAGACCCCTGCCATCCGTCATAAGCACCAAGCATCCTGAGCTCCCTCCCTGACCCTGTCCCTGACCCCTCCATGTCACTCCCCATTTCCATCTTTCTGAGCCTGTCTTCCCTCCCCAGCCCTCACCCTGCTCTTTCTCTCAAGTCTCATCTTCCCCAAATGTCTGGTTCATAGGGTGGACCTGGTTTGAAGGGGAATGAAGGTCCGGCTGGCCCCCCTGGCCCTGCAGTGAGTCTGGGGTTCCAGAGGGTGGTACAAAGGGCCTGGGAAAGGGGGTGGGTGAGGAAGGGGGTGGGAGTGGCATCCCCATACCAGCAGGGGCTGTGGGGCTGGGCAGAGGCTGTCTAGGGGTAGCAGAATGCACCTGACTTTGAGTCTTCTGGGAATTGTGGTCTGAGGTTCTTTGGTATGGGCGGACTGGGGTCTCCTTCCTGGGGGTCTGACTCATGTGCTCTCTCAGGGCTCCCCTGGGGAACGAGGTGCAGCAGGATCAGGGGGACCCATTGGTCCACCAGGGCGCCCAGGCCCGCAGGGTCCCCCTGGAGCAGCAGGAGAAAAAGGCGTCCCGGTGAGTGTGGAGGTCCTGGGGAAGGGTACTGGGGAGGGGTCTGTGAGCCTACGGTTGATGGGCTATGACAAATTTCCTGTGGGGTGTTTGGCCTGGGTGAGGGTCACCTCCAGGCCATGACTCCTTCCTCTTATCTCACAGGGTGAGAAGGGGCCCATTGGCCCAACTGGCCGAGATGGGGTGCAGGGTCCTGTGGGGCTTCCTGGTCCTGCTGGGCCTCCGGGTGTGGCTGGAGAGGATGGTGACAAGGTGAGGAACCCACAGACACCCGTCCTATCTTCTCTCCAGATGAGCTGGCTGACCTGACCATGACCCCTGACCCCTGTCATGTCATCCTTCCCACTCTACCCATCACCTTTTTCTAATATCTTGTCTGCCTTCTCCTCCCAGGGTGAGGTGGGGGACCCTGGACAGAAGGGCACCAAAGGGAACAAGGGCGAACATGTAAGCGTCCATGACTTTGACATCTGACTTCCTGGCCTTTAACCTCATTCCCACCTGATCTCTTCCCCTGTTTTGGTGTCTCTGACTCTCTTCTCTCACCCAGGGCCCTCCTGGACCCCCTGGACCCATTGGTCCAGTGGGGCAGCCTGGAGCAGCGGTGAGTGACCCCTCCACCTCTACCGAAGCCCCAGCAGCCTCTGGTCCTTTCTCAGCTCCCCTTTGCCCTTGGGGTTGGGAGCAGGAGAAGGAGCTCTGGTCCTGGCACCCAGCTCTGTGTGGTATTTGTGGATAGGGAACACCTGACCCATGACCCATTCCTGTGTCCTTGTCCCTGCTTTCCCTCCACCCTGCAGGGAGCAGATGGGGAGCCCGGAGCTCGTGGGCCCCAGGGACACTTTGGAGCCAAAGGTGATGAAGGCACAAGAGGATTCAATGGGCCCCCAGGACCCATAGGCCTACAGGTGAGTTGGGGGATAGGAACAGGGGCTGAGAGGTGGGGTCAGGATGGGGTGATGTTTGCCCCAGACTCTGCCAGCAGCCTGCTGATGAGGACCGGAGGGCCTGTGGGATCTGAGGGGAGGGGACTGTGGGGCCTGTCTGTCTAGGGCTGTACTCTGGGTGGGGTGGTCACCTGGGCCCATGTTTTCTATACCTGCACAGGGTTTGCCAGGCCCCTCTGGGGAGAAGGGAGAAACGGGAGATGTGGGTCCTATGGTGAGTGTGACCTTACTGACCCTGGCCCCCATACTAGTTACCTTCCTGCCTGGCCAGCCCCCGCCCCACACCCCACTGATGACTCCTGGCCTGGCTGCTTCTCATCCTCCCTCCACCATTCATGCTCATCCATCTCACTTCCCTTCCCCATCTCTGGTATATCTGTTTCCCCCTAGGGACCACCTGGCCCCCCAGGACCTCGAGGCCCAGCTGGACCGAATGGTGCTGATGTGAGTCATCTCAGCCCCTGTCCCTTCAGATCAATGTGTCTGGTCCTCTGCCTCCCTTTCCCAGACCATAAACTCTGGTCTCATCTCAGAGGCTAAGAGAAGCCTTTGCTCCTGGGAGGCCTCCACTGCCTCACTGCTGTGACTGTGGGCTGCTCATCTGGGGCTTTGCCCCTGAAATGGCACCTCCTTCCTAAGCAATGACACCTATTTCTGTTCCTCTTCCAGGGCCCACAAGGTCCCCCAGGAGGTGTTGGGAACTTGGGTCCTCCTGGAGAGAAGGTAACTGGGAAGGGGGAATGGACCAGTCATGGAAGTCAGGAATGAGAGTTGGATTTCTGCCAATTTTGGTCAGGGAGCTAAAAGAGAATGAGTTGTGGGGAATATCAGAATTTTTTGGCCAGGGAATGAGAGGAGGTTTTTGACTCTAATCTCTTTGCAGGGGGAACCAGGTGAATCAGGATCTCCAGGGGTCCAGGGCGAGCCAGGTGTCAAAGTGAGTGACAGCTCCAAGGCCCTACTCCCCAATCCCCTTCACCCCCCTCAACCCTACCTCCACTTTTCCTGTGACTTCCTTGAGCTGGAACTCTTCTGCAGCAAGTCTCTGCTCCCTGCCATCCTGTGTGAGGCCTGATCCCTGGTCTGAGTGAACTCTTCTTCCCCTTCCTTGAAGGGAAGGGCACCAGGGGACTTCCCATATAGGCTTAAGTTTCTGTGTGTGTATCATTGTCACTGAGGGGAGTAGGGGATGGCTGAAGGTGTCTTGGAAGCAGAGGCTGCATTCCTGATCTTCAAGACCCCTGCGACCATCTGTTCCTTCTGCTTGTTCTGCAGGGTCCACGAGGGGAGCGTGGGGAGAAAGGAGAGTCGGGACAGCCTGGAGAGCCAGGACCACCAGGGCCTAAAGGCCCCACAGGCGATGATGGCCCCAAAGGGAACCCTGTGAGTTTGGGGCAGTGGGGCTGAGTCCTCTCAGGCCCTGCAAATGATGGACCTGGGAATATGGGTGTGTGTGAGGGAGGATCTTGGAGTGTGGGGACCTGGGAGAGGAGGGATGCTCTGGGAATGGGGTGTCCTGGGAGGGATGCATGGGTCTGCGATCCAGAGAGAAAGTGAGAGACGCCCTGCAGTACATGAGGTGGAAAAGGGCTGCAGGAGACCTCCTCCTGTGCCCGTGGGAGTCTGTGCTGGGCTAAGGGAGCTGTGACCCTGACTCTTGTTCTCCCTCTGAATCAGGGTCCCGTTGGTTTTCCTGGTGACCCTGGCCCTCCTGGAGAAAGTGGTCCTCGGGTGAGTGTTACTCAAGAGAAGGGGCAAAAAGGGTGGGGCTTCTATGGGGGCCTCTGTATGGGCACTGGGCTTGAGTGTTAGAAAGTTGGAGGTATGGCAGGGTGGGCAAGGGGATGAAGGCATTTTTTTTTTTTTCTGAGATGGAGTCTTGCACTGTTACCCAGGCTGGAGTGCAGTGGCACGATCTGGCTTGTTACAACCTCTGCCTCCAGGATTCAACTGATTCTGCCTCAGCCTCCCGAGTAGCTGGGATTACAGGCACACACCAGGGATGGGAGGATTGACAGTTTTGGAGGTGATGCCAGCCAGGTTGGGGGCCTACCTTTGACCTTGCCTCACCCCTGCAGGGCCAGGATGGTGCTAAGGGTGATCGAGGCGAGGATGGTGAGCCAGGACAGCCTGTGAGTGACCAGTGACCCCACCACCCCCCAAGCCCAAGCTTCATCCCCTTCTGTGCCCCACTCCTGAGGAATCCCTTGGTTGGAGGCTAAACACTCAGCTACCCCAATTCCTCTCTCCCTAGGGATCCCCTGGTCCCACTGGAGAGAATGGACCCCCTGGGCCACTTGGAAAGCGGGTAAGTGAGGTGGATCCCTGAGACCTCGGAGGCAGTGCCTGGGCTGTGTGGATGGAGGCTGGGCAATGGAAGGTGGACTGGGTGGGGAGATGCCTGGTGTTTGCGTGGCCCTGGGTGTGGTGTGTGTGCAGGAGCTGGTGGGTTGGTGAGTGTGCAGTACCTTGGGCATGTTTGTTCCTGGGTTCTGGTGTGCATGTCCTCTCCAGGGGTATTGATGGTTATTGACAAGCAGAATGGAAACTGGAGGAGGGTGCTGGCCAGCATGTCTGTGGGCCAGGGGTGAACCTGTTTACTTGCTGGGGCAGGAGATGGGCCACAAGGTAGGGTGTGGGCAAGTGGCTCTTCACCACAGGTACAGACTACCCAGTATTTTCACAACTGTCACAGCTGGATCTGTTCTGCACGTCTGTGAATCAGTCCTCTGTGTGTGCCTATGTATGCACATGTGTGTGCGTGTGTGTGTCTAGGACAGGAAGGTGGAAGAGTTGAGCCTGGCTGCCCACAGCCTCATGTGCTCTTCCTTTCCACTCCATCTGCAGGGTCCTGCTGGCTCGCCTGGTCCCGAGGGGCGACAAGGAGGGAAGGGAGCCAAGGTGAGGGAGAGGCCGCCCTGGTGCTGGAGCACCCCCTCCATCTCCCACCCCTCAGATGCCTCTGTCTCCTGATGCCTACCCCATGTCCACCTCTCCCGTGTTGAGCCCTTTTGGGGACAGGTGTCCCTTATACTTATTCCTGCCCTAGGGCTCCTAGAGTTTGGCCCTTCCTCCCCACCTCACCCCTTCCACTTTGGACCCTCTGCCCTCTGCCTGTACCCCATTCCTCTGCCCTTCAGGACACATACCTTTTGTGTTTCAGGGGGATCCCGGTGCTGTAGGTGCCCCAGGGAAGACAGGCCTGGTGGGTCCTGCAGGCCCAGCAGGGAAACCTGGTCCTGATGGTCTGAGAGGCCTCCCAGGCTCAGTGGTGAGTCACAGCAGGGAAGGGCTGGGCTGGGAATGAGGGGCCATGGGAGGGGTGCAGTGTGGGGATGCTCCTCCTGACCCCTGTGGTCCCCTCAAATCTTTAGGGTCAGCAAGGCCGACCTGGAGCTACAGGCCAGGCTGGGCCCCCAGGTCCTGTGGTGAGTGACTGGGATTGGGCTGGGTAGGGGGTGAGGGCGGTGCCTGGGCAGAGCTGAAGCCCTGAAGGAAGTGGAGGCTGCTGGGAAGAACTTAGTCCCACCTTGAACGAGTGACTTCCCATCTCTCCACAGGGACCCCCAGGGCTGCCTGGTCTCCGGGGCGATGCTGGAGCCAAAGGAGAGAAGGTGAGTGACAGACAGACACGTGGCCAGGTGTCTCTCCCATCACCATCATCCTTGAAACCTGTGGGGCCCGGGTGCCTACTGCTCTGCTTCAGGCCTCCAGCAGCCAGTCTTGGGGTCCTGCTCAGTGGGGGCCACTCACGGGCCCTGTGCCCAGGTCCCTCTCTGTGTCCTCTTGGCCCTTCTCCCCACATGACTCCTCTGTGCATTCTCTTGACTCCCTGCTCCCTTCTCTAGGGCCACCCAGGTCTCATTGGACTGATTGGGCCCTCGGGTGAGCAGGGAGAGAAGGGAGATCGGGGACTTCCTGGCCCTCAGGGATCCCCTGGACAGAAGGGCGAGACAGTGAGTAGAGGGCATGGTCCCTAAAGGTGTGGGGGTTGAGAGTGGGGTTCATGTTGAGGAGGGGAGGGTGGAGTTGGAGTTGGGACTTGGCTGTGGGTGAGGGAGCAGATGCTCGGGAGGGCGTGGGAGGAGGACACAGTTGAACCAGCCCCTCCCCTTCCTAGGGTATCCCAGGAGCATCCGGTCCCATTGGTCCTGGAGGGCCCCCCGGCCTCCCCGTGAGTACCACCTTGTCCCTCCACTGCTGCCGGCCTATGGCCTCCCAATGACTTCCACGGAACCACCAGCCTAAGGACCCAAGCATAGTCCTCAGGGTCCCCTATTCGTTCTGTCACCCCCAAACCTCCCCATACTTCCAAGGTCTGAATGTCCTGGTACTCCAGCAGGCCTGCCCCTCCTGTAGTAACCTGAGGCTCCTGTGGACTTGGGACCTTGCCTCCCCACTCCCGAGTCCTGTTCTTCCCCTGCAGTGACCGTCTCTTTCTTGTTCCTCATTTCACAGGGACCTGCTGGCCCCAAAGGAGCTAAAGGAGCCACAGTAAGTGACCCCCGTCAGCTCTGACCTTTGCCCCATCCCCTCTGGACTTGATGCTGTCTCTCCAGGGCAAACAGACTCCCCCCAAGGAGCCCCTTATTCCCAGCCAGGAGGCTGATTTGATCCTTCTGTGACCTAGATCCATGCTTGACCTCTTGACCCCTCCATGACCTCATTTATTCCCTGTCAGGGCCCAGCTGGACCCAAGGGAGAGAAAGGTGTGCAGGGCCCTCCAGGACACCCGGTGAGTGAGGAGTCACGGCTGCTCCCAAGGCCGTCCCCCACTGCTTTGTTGCTGCCCGGCTTCACCCTCACACCAACCTCGTCTCTTGCCTTCTCCATCTGTCCCTGCACCCAGGGTCCCCCAGGAGAGGTGATCCAGCCACTGCCCATCCAGATGCCCAAGAAGACTCGGCGCTCGGTGGATGGAAGCCGCCTGATGCAGGAAGATGAGGCCATGCAGACCGGGGGAGCCCCTGGCAGTCCTGGGGGGCTGGAGGAGATCTTTGGCTCACTCGACTCCTTGCGGGAGGAGATCGAGCAGATGAGGCGGCCGACGGGGACCCAGGATAGCCCTGCTCGCACCTGCCAGGACCTGAAGCTGTGCCACCCGGAGCTGCCCGATGGTCAGTGCCGGCCTCAGGGTGCACAAACGTCTCCCCAACAGCGTGGGCACTGAACAAGCAGGATGGATGTTGGGGGAGACTTGGAGAAGGTGTTGGATTTAGGGTGAGGGCTGAGGGGCTGGGAACTGCAGCTGTTTACCAACCAGGTCAGAAGTATCCCGGTATTTTAGCAACTGATCTGGGTCAGTGTGTACCAGTTGGTTATCAGCCCAGTGTCTGCAGGAGCAGATAAACATACACATGTGTACACACCTGTGTGCACCTGCACAGATGAATCTATGCAAGCGCCTGCAGCCACATGTTGTCCCAGGATGAGGCTGTCCATACTTGGACCTCCTCCAGTCAGGGGGCCTGGGGTTACTGTTGGGGGCAGAGGTGTCACATGAGGAAGGTGGGCTGCAGCAGTAGCATGGGCTATATTTTAGGGCTCTGGGAGGGAGGAGGACCGGGAAACTGAGAGCATGGTGGGGAGGGCTGGGAGGGAAGAGGAATGTGGGGGCAAAGAGCATCCTGGAGCCTGGGCCTGGATGGCCCTGACCTCCCCTCTTCCCCACCCAACAGGGGAGTACTGGGTCGACCCCAACCAGGGCTGTGCTCGGGATGCCTTCCGGGTTTTCTGCAACTTCACAGCAGGTGGGGAGACCTGTGTGACACCCAGGGATGACGTCACACAGGTCAGAGCTGGCCCCTGGCTGCCCCTCCCCTGTCCCATGGTGCACCCCCTCAGGGCCTAGTGGTTTCTGGGTTTTGGTGACAGTCCCCTGGCTATTGTTCCCCTGGAGCCTGCCTCCCCTTCTCCACTCCTTAGCTCCTTCCTTTCCTTCTCATCGGTCCTCTAATGCTTACTTTGCCTTTTGTGTACCTCAGGCTCCTGGCTCCCACTCATTTCTCCCCCAGCCCTTGCCTCCCAGCCATTCCCTGCTCATGACTCTGGTTCAGCTGTCCTGGGGCTATTAGATGCTCCTCAGGCCCGTCTGTCTCCTCCTGACCCCAGCGGTCTCTCTCCTTCCAGTTCTCTTACGTGGACTCAGAGGGCTCTCCAGTGGGTGTGGTCCAGCTCACCTTCCTGCGGCTGCTCAGCGTCTCAGCCCACCAGGACGTCTCCTACCCCTGCTCTGGAGCAGCCCGCGATGGTCCCCTGAGACTCCGTGGGGCCAATGAGGATGAGCTGAGCCCGGAGACCAGCCCCTATGTCAAAGAATTCAGAGATGGCTGCCAGGTGGGAATAGGAAGAGCTGGGTCCGGGGCTGATCTCAGATTCAGGCTGGAGGAAGGAGGTGGGAAGACCCCTTGGGCAGGGCACCAGGGAGAGCAGGGAGGAGTCCGTCCTGATGGATTGTCAGGGATGCCTGAAGGAGCTCAAAAGCCAGTAAGGAGGGTGGAAAGGATGGAAGCCAGACATCTGTGAGCCACCCAGGTGAGGTTCACTTGGGTGCATGCACCAGCCTCACACAGGGTAATGGAAATGTGTACACAGACCGGCACATGGCTGCCCAGCAGAGGCACATGGTCGGGAGTGGGGAGCAAACACACACTCATGGGCACACGGACACTCCCAGTCTGTACATCCTGAGTCACCCCGATGGGGTCAAGGTGCTCAGAGGGAAGGTGAGGTTGGGCCTGAGGTTGGGGAATGGGGGGGTGCCTCCACCCGGCTCACCCCTTTCTCTCCCATCTCTCACTGAAGACACAGCAAGGTCGGACGGTGCTGGAGGTGCGAACGCCTGTGCTGGAGCAGCTGCCAGTGCTGGATGCCTCCTTCTCAGACCTGGGAGCCCCCCCGAGGCGGGGAGGGGTGCTGCTGGGGCCTGTCTGCTTCATGGGTTAGGACCTCTGTCTGATCCTGTCCATCGGAACCAGGCCCACCTGGAATCCCACAACATCAGCTCTGTGCCACCTCCCAAGGGGGCTCCTCACCATCTAGGGAGCATTGGGCCAGGGCGCAGAGAGCCCTCAGTCAGGGGCAGGCAAGCCAGGGGAGGGGTGAAGTGGTTGCCCAGATACCCCATGGGAGGAGTGGCATCTGGGGCTCTTGGCCCTCCCACCTGGAGCCTGTGACCCATTAGAGAGTGGAGGTCCTTATTTAAAACTCACCTCCCAATCACCCCAAACAAATGGAAGAGAAGAGAAAGGACATGGTGCATTTTGTATTTAAAAGTAATTATATTAATTATTTAAAGAGTGGGAAAACAAAATAACAAAGAAAGAGAAATGTCAACAAAAATCAGCAGACGTTGGAGACGGGGCTCTGGGGGTGGGCTCCGGCACCCACATCCTTTCAGTAGGGCTTTCCTCAGTGACTGTGTTTGTGGGGGTTTCAGGGCTGAACCCCACTTCCCTCGCACCTCCCTCCCACCTCAGCTGTCGCACCCACTGTGAAAGTTGGAATAGATGGTCTCCCTGGTCTCAGGGCTCTGACTCTGCCAGGGTGGGGCCCTCTAACCCACAGGTATTGGCTCCTGGGCTCACGGGCCCACTGTCTCTTCCACTTGGTCTGGATCTGGCAGACACTCCTGCTATTTGAGGACCAGGCTGCTTCCCCAGGGAAGAAATGGAATAGTGTGGGGGTGTGTGCAGGGCTGCATCCAGCAGGTGATGGAATATTAAAATTCTTCCATATTTGCTGGTAAATTGCCATGGCCCTGAGAAACCCAATATGTTCATTGCCACCCCTGTCCCTCCCCTGGGCACCCCTCACCTTCCCTGATCCTGCAATTAAAAGGTTAATGTCTGGCATATGGAAGGGACTCCAGGACCCTGTGCCCAGCGTCCATGCTGACTGATGGTTAAATAATGTGATTGTCTCCTCCCGGATGTCTGTGTCACTGCTTGTGTTATTTCAGTCTCCCCCAATACCTATCCAATGCTCCCTCTTCCCAGCTAAATGGCTACCAGAATTGTATGGCTTAATCCAGATACGCTACAGGGCCTATCCAGCTGGGGTGTCAGGACCCAGAGTTTACAAAGCCTGGGTGACTAGTATAAAATTACAAACGATGCCCCAGGGACACCAGGTAGGGGTTTAGGGTTCCTATGGCCCAGGTTCTGACACCCTATGAGATTGCATCTGGGTGTGGGTGGGCCTGAGTTCCAGAAGGAGCCTTAATCCTTCTGGCCTATAGCCCAGTCTAATCTCTAAATGGGAGGCTGAGGCCCACTTCCAAGACATTTACTGCACGTGTACCTCTGGGCACCTTATCCCTCTCCCTCAGGCTTGGGCTGTGCTGTCATGAAGACCAGGGCCGTGGCCAGGCCCTCCACACTCGTGAAGTCACGTGCACACTCTTGAGTCGGGTGGAGACGGACAGTCCTTGCCTGTGTCCCCCAACTCCTGTCACCCGCTCCCCGTTCCCTAGCCTCCCTCTCCCGGGCACTGAGAAGCTCTGCTCCCTCCGGGTTAGGTGCTTGAGATGGCCTATCGGAATTCCAAGACTGGCGGCCCAGTAGGGACCTCCCAGCTGGCGTCCGTGGGGCTTCACATTCCCAGGCCACGTTGCCTGACTCCTGCCAGTCAGGGCGCTGCATTAAAACGTGTTCCAGGGCCTCATCCCAACTGGGACGCCTCTTCCTCGCTGACACCATGCTCACGGGTGCGCGCGTTTGTGTCCCGGTTTCGCATCAGCAGCCCCAGGGCGGGCCTGGCGGGGTGTCCCCTCACCCTGAGCCCGAGCCCGGGTAGGCTGCGCCCTCGCCCCTCCTCCCCGTACTTCCTCCCACCGTGTCCCCGACAGCGTCTGCTTGGCCGTCCCGGTCCCGAATCATTCTGGATCGCAGAAATCCCCCTGTGGGCGTCTAGAGGGCCAGCGTGGCCCTGTCGGGTGCGCGGAAAAACCGCTGAGGGTGGAAGCCGCTCCTCGGCGCAGGCGCCTCCGCCTCTGCCGCCCCCTAGTGCCCGCGCCGAGACCGCGCGCGAACCCCACCGGGTGAGCTGAATAATTCTGGTCCCTTAGACGTCTCTGCACGCTACCTCTCCCCTGTCACTCGCTGAACCCTCACCCACTCCCCCCGACCCAGGAGGCTGAATGGAGGAGGAAGCCCCTGATCTCATCTGTCTGGGTTCCGGTGGTGGGTAGGGCTTCTGGGATCACCCGTGCCCTCCACCTCAATATCCAAGGCCCAGGGACTTCAGACACCCCCTTCCCTCCATCTCGGGGTCTGATCAAGAGAAGATCAGACCTAAACAGGTGCCCGCCCCCCCATCCGCCTTGCCCGCACCCACTCCCAGCCAAGCCGGGCTGGAGCTGAGGTTTCTCTGGCGCTCTCTCTGCAGCTGGAGCCAAACCCACAGAGGTCGCCCCCAGAACACCAAGAGGACTTTCCCAAAGGTCACGTTTGGTCAGATGCTCTGAGCTCCGAGGGCTTTTCTTCATGGAAACAATGCTGTACAGTCACTTGAATAACATTTATATACAGCGGCTAAGTCCCCAGGCCAATCCACAACAGCCTATTTACACAGTGCTGCCGACCAATGCCATCTAACAGTTTCATGAGGGATTTGGTGCCAAGTTGCTGCTGAGGAGGCCAGGCCCGCAGCCTTCTCCTGGCAACTGACTTCTTCCTCCCCTCCGGAAAGCCAGGGCCAGACTCTAAGGAAAGATAGGAGAGGTTTAAGGGTAGGGCTGTAGAGGTGGGGTTTTGGGGTGGGGCTGGGTGTGACCAAGGCGAATGCCCAGCCTCCTTCGGGCCTGTGGGTATTGGCAGTGTCTCCATTGGCTGGTGGGCCATGGAGGCTTCTGGAAGGGGTGGGAGGAGATGAGGAAGAGAAAGACAGAGGCTTTAGAGAACTACTTGGGGTTTGATTGGGGCAGAACATAAACTCTTACTGGAGGGGCCAAGTTCTGAAAAGTATTGACTGCCTGTGGAAGGAGTTGAACTTGAACCCAAAAAGTCAGAGAGAGTCATTGATGGTGTTTGAAAAGGCGAGTGATATGATGGAATTGTGCTCTGGCTTGGTGGTGGAGGAGAGGAGGGTTTGGGATGGGGCGCACAGGGTGATCACACATAGAGGGAGGGCTGTGGGGTGGGTCCTCTGGCCCGTCACACCCTTGGAGCTGCTTTTCAGCTTTGGGCTGATATTTTTAGCATCTGTGACTTATGGTCAAAAAATAACTTGTGAAATAAAATTAAAATAACTTCCAGACCACTTACATCACCGTACCTGGGAGCACCACACAGCCACGGGCTACACAGAGCTGTTCTTGCCTCCTTTGGCTGTCTTGCATGCTGAGGTTTGTAGTTTATTTTTATTTTTATTTTTTTCTTTTTATCCCCCCAAATACATGAAACACATGATTCTTAAGAGGTTTGTAGTTTTGAATGGACCAGGGCAGGTTGGGGTGGAGATGAGATAGGGGAGGGAGTGAGTCAAAACAAGGCTCTCAGCCAGGGCAACAAAGCAAGACTCTCTCTCTCTCTCTCTTTTTGAGATAGGGTCTCACCCAGGCTGGAGTGGAGTGGCAAGGACATGGTTCTCCCCAGCCTCGACCTCTCTGGGTTCCAGTGATCCTCCCACCTCAGCCTCCCAAGTAGCTGGGTCTCCAGGCGTATTCCATTAATTTTTGTATTTTTTGTAGAGATGGAATTTTGCCCGGTTTCCCAGGCTAGTCTCGAACTCCTGGGCTCAATTGATCTGCCCAACTCAGCCTCCTAAAGTGCTGAGATTACAGACATGCGCCACCGCGCACAGCCCTTTTTCTCTACAAAAACATAATTTAAAAATTAGCTGGGCATGGTGGCTTATGCTGGTAGTTGCAGCTGCTCAGGAGGCTCAGACAGGAGGATCACTTAAGCCCAGGAGTTTGAGGTTACAGTGACCTGTGCTCCTGCCACTGTACTCTAGCTTGGGTGACAGAGAGAGACCCCATCTCAAACCAACCAACCAACCAAGGCTCCAGCTGCCTCAGAAATGAGTGTCTGTGTAGTGACTGGTGGCCGCCTTGTTTTGTGGTTGTTTAATACCTTTTCCTGCAAGTTTGATGTGGGCAGCAGGGAGCATCAGGGCCACATCGGAGCTTCCTTCTGTCCAGCTGTGCAGTTCACAGAGAGTGTACATGTGTAGGCCATAGTTATGTTTTGCAACTCAAACCTAGAGGAAGCAGAAGTCACCTTGAGTGCTGACAATTGGCCTTCTGTTATCTTTCCTCTCATCTTCTGGGTAGTTTCATGGAACTGACACTGGCAGTGGCCTGCCATCTCAGTAGGGGAGACCTGCCCTGCCAGTCTTTGAATAAAGACTGAGGATATCTACAGGGGCATCTCCTTTAGGGCTCTCCCCAGAGGGCCAGGATGGTAGAATGAACACAGCTCTCAGCTTCCATGAGAGCCAGTACATCACTCTGCCTGGCCTTTCCTCAGTCGGCAGGAGCAGGTCAATCCATCTTGTTTACTTTGCTCTGGTCCCCCTCTCTCTCTTATTTATTTATTTATTTATTTTTTGAGACAAGGCCTCACTCCTCTCGCTTAGGCTAGCATGCAGTGGTGCGATCATGGCTCACTCTAGCCTCAACTTTTCATGCTCAGGCAATTCTTCCATCTCAGCCTCCTGAGTAGCTGGGCCTACAGGTGAGCACCACTATGCCCAGCTAATTTTTAAAATTTTTAGTAGAGGTGGGGTTTCATGTTGCCCAGGCTGGTCTCAAACTCCTGGGCTCACGCAATCGCCCTGCCTCGGCCTCCCAAAGTGCTGGGATTATCTGGCTCTCTTCCTGAGAAATGCCTTGCTCTAGGTTGAAGAACTTTTGATTCCTAATACATGGATGGTTTTCCAAAGTACAGCAGATAAAGGCCACGTTGGCAGCTCATGTAAAGGTCATGTTCCAGGTCTTGGCTACTTCACCTATAACAGGCATGGACTCCGCAGAGCCTCAGGCCAAAGAATGTGCGTCATAGGGATATATCCCTTGTTGTGTTCACATCTCCCTGGGGGTTGGGCTACATTGTTGGGTAACGTAATGGGTCTGCTCTCCTCATGTAATAAGGCATACCCATATTACTAATGCAGGGCGAGATTTCTTATAATTCCATGCCTTTCCAGTTGTGGTTATTTTATTAATACCTGCAGGTTTTCCTTATTTTTAGAACTGCAAATCTATAGAAACAAACAAACCCCAAACCCAACAAACATGTTTCAGAGACATTAAGCTTAGAGAGAGGAGGAAAAATAGCACCCTGTTTGATTGAGGCTCTGGGGAGAGAGGGACTCAGGCAAAAGGGTTTGTGTGGCAGGTGGTCTAGTTTTGGGTGGGTTGAGCAGACTTAGGACCAAAAGCGGCACTGATTCTAGCTGGCAGCAGACCTCTCTGTATTTCCAACCAGGACTTCCTCCTTTATCTTGGCAGGGATGCTTTACTTCTGAGTTGTACATTTAACCTCAGCATCAGTTTCTTCACCTGCAAAGTGGGATAATACTTGCTCTGTAAGGGAACAATTCCCCCTTTAGTGACGGCCTTTGCAATGGAAAGAAAAGGGAGAGACCTTTCAAGCTATCTTGGCTCCGTCTCCATGTCTTTGTTATTGCTGATGTGGGTGTCTGGGGCATGCTGCTGTCCCCCCGCCTTTTTTTTTTGAGATAGACTCTCATTCTGTTGCCTATGCTGGAGTGCAGTGGCACAATCTTGGTTCACCGCAACCTCTGCCTCCTGGGTTCAAGAGATTCTCCTGCCTCAGTCTCCTGAGTAGCTGGGATTACAGGCGCCCTCCACCACAACTGGCCAATTTTGTTTTTGTTTTTTGAGACAGAGTTTCACTCCGTCACCAGGCGCCAGGCTGGAGTGCAGTGGTGTGACTTCGGCTCACGGCAACCTCCGCCTCCC